CAGTCAATAAGAAATATTAGGACCAAATCTGTGTACAGCAACCTCAACTGTGTCTCTAATATAATCCATCGGTATTGGTCGTTCGTTGTCCTTCAGACACTGCACCATAACACTCGTCAGTGAGTTTCTTTACTATCGTCTCCATTCAGAGGGCTTATATCTATAGCTAGAGCATGGCGTCTCGTAAAACGCCTCGCTCTCCCCGTGTCCAAGCATGACATAGCTCTCCTCGACACTCCAAGTAACGAAGTTGCGGCTTGCATTTCGGATGGATAACCGATGACATTGGTTTTGATAGGAAATGACAATTCCTCTACATGTACAGCCATATAGTATTCCTAAATCCGAAGGGATACTCTTTCCTTCCCGTTTTCTGCCCTGTCCATATTATAGAGCCACGCTATCACTTCACCCACATGTACCAGGAGACTTTGTAAAGGGAGAAAAAGTGTTTTCACGAATCAGCACGCGGTCCCCAGACGCGTCGAAAGGGATAAACAAACCTTATGATCCAAAATCGCTGTCCAGAGTAAAACTTCCTTCCTTTCCTCCATCTCGCGACTATCTCTCGTAGAAAGAGATCCAACTCATAACGGTTGTGGGATAAAGGCCGTGATCAAGATGGCAGGAGTATGACGAGCATGGACAGCGTCATTCCACTTTATGTTATGGCCTCATTCTTCCAAGTTTCGGCATTGACTTCGGTGTCGTCGAGTGGCTATTGCAATATGACGTCGGACGACAGCCAGGATCTGGTTGTGGTCGAGAGCTAACAAGCGTTGACGAGCTACCACCATCTTCACCGCTCCCTAAGGTAGAACTCTGCGTACGCAAGTACCTTCTTCGGTGCCGGATATCATTTATTTCGGTAAAGGTACATAGAATGCCTCGACTTGTCCTTTAATTCCATAAGCTAGGTTCCGCCACTTTCGGCATGTCTATGAATGTACGTCTATATAAATAATACCTTTATACGTCCACGGCTCAGCGAATACTGTGAAAATTGGCACTAAATACACTCTCCAAGCACCATCTGAGCTTCAAA